TTTTTTTTTTTTTTTTTTTTTGAGTAGGAGTCTCACCGTCGCCCAGGCTGTAGTGCAGTGGCATGCTCATGGCCACCGAAGCCATGACCTTCTGGGCTCAGGCGATCTTTCCAAGTAGCTGGAACTACAGGCATGTCCCATCACACCTGGCTAATTTTTTGGTTTATTGTGGTGATGAGGTCTCGCCAAATTGCCCAGGCTGGTCTGGAACCCCTAGGCTCAGGCAGTCCTCTCACCTCAGCCTCCCAAAGTGCTGGGATTATAGGGGTGAGCCACTGCGCCCAGCCAACATTTTCCTCTTCTATAGCTTGAGTAGTTACTCCTCATTTCCTCCTCCCTCCCCTCATGCTTTCTTATGCTTCTCTCCACACAGTCCCTGAAGATCTTGGGAGAGAAGGTGTCCGAGATCCCACTGACCCGAGAGAATGTGTCTGAGATTCTGCGCTGCTTCCTTATGGCTTATGGAGTGGAGCCAACTCTCTGTGACAGCCTACGCACCCAGCCCTTTCAGGCCCAGCCGCCCCAGCAGAAGGCTGCCGTCCTGGCCTTCCTCGTGCATGAGCTCAACGGCTCCACCCTCATCATCAAGTGAGGGGCAGGACGGTGGTCCTTGTATATATTGTGTCATAATGGGATGGGGGACGGGTCTAACCACACAGAAGTCATGTCAATGTGTGTCCACTGCCGTGCTCTGAAGGTGCTGGAGTGACTTGGTGCTGGGCTGCAGTGCTCTCCTTGGAGAGTCTAAGCCTCTGCTGTCCGTCCATCTAGGTTCTAGGCTGGAACTCCTTGTTCAGCTGCAGCCCCTTACCCTGGAACCTCCCTTCCCCCTTTTCATGCTGCCACTTCTACCTCAAAATCCCATTGCCTATTCCCCTGCAGTGAGATTGACAAGACTCTGGAGAGTATGTCCAGCTACAGGAAAAACAAGTGGATTGTTGAAGGCCGGCTCCGGAGGTAGGGACAGGACAGAGGGTAGAGCCCAGAGAAAGGAGAGAAGGGGGAAAGGGTGAAGCATAGCCAGGATTTTGCCTGGAACATGGTGCCCTCAGCCTCTTCCCTGGGTTTGGGACCTTCCCAGGGCTCAGGATGGTTTAGATTCCAGGCGTTCCTTTTGTACATTATGTCGTTCCTCACTACGGTTTCCCATAATCTCTCTCCGTCTGTTTCAAGACTGAAAACTGCTCTGGCCAAGAGAACTGGGCGATCTGAGGTAGAGATGGAAGGGCCAGAGGAGGGCCTGGGACGGAGGCGGAGTTCTCGGATCATGGAGGAGACCAGTGGCATGGAAGAGGAGGAGGAAGAGGAGACCACAGCAACTGTCCCTGGCCGCAGGGGTCGAAGAGATGGAGAGGTACTGGCCCAAGATCAAGGAAAGTGGGCATTGCAAGAGATGGTTTGTCTTTCTATAATCTGGTAACTTCCTTTGCTCAGTGTCCACTTGTCTCTCCTTAGGTTGATGCCGCAACATCCAGCATCCCGGAGCTAGAGCGCCAGATAGAAAAACTCAGTAAGGTATTATACTTCTAACCTCCTAGGAGTTGGAGAGGAGGGCTGACTGAGGATCGATGACCTTCTAAGTTGGTCACAGAGGGTGTCAGTGTTACAGGGAGCTAAGAGCCTCTTCTCCCATATATGGGGTAGAATCACCACTGTCACTTTGGAAATGTGTTTTTATTATCTTCCTTTCCCCACCGCCTACCCAGCGTCAGCAGTTCTTTCGCAAAAAGCTGCTTCACTCGACTCAGATGCTTCGGGCAGTGTCCTTGGGTCAAGACCGCTACAGACGCCGCTACTGGGTGCTGCCGTATTTGGCCGGCATCTTTGTAGAAGGAACAGAGGGGAGCTTAGGTAGGTGTGTCTGTGGGAGCCTGGATTCCGAGTCCTCTCGAACACAAGTTAGACAGTTCCTTCTCACCTGGTAGTCTTGGGCTTTTTTATTTTGTGGAAATCAATATAGCATAGTGGAGAAGAATGCAGGCTCTGGGGTGAGACTGCCTGCCTCCCTGCTCTGCCGTTTCCCAGCTGTGTGCCTCAGTTTCCTCATTTGCAGAATATCTGTGTTTAATGAGGCTACTGAGAGGATTGAAGTTAATCAACTCCTAGAATGGTGCCCAGGAAGAGGCACTTGTGACTGTGCTGCCACTGCTGATTACTTAGGACAGGAGAGTTGTGTGTTTTCCCCAGACACTGGGTTCCCTGGCATGTAAGCTGTCCCAGTGGAATCTCCAAAAAGGGAGACAAAGTCTAAGAGAGAGAGAAAGTGTATCCACTGTGTTTATATACTCTTTCTTTCCTCTTACATAGCGGTGTGTGTCTTGAACTCTACTTCTCTTTACAGTTCCCAAGGGTGTGATAAAGAAGGAAATGGATTCCTCGAAAATGGCAGGCCACCCAGCACCCAACTCTATCCCCTTCTCCATGAAGAGGGAGTTAGCTAGCTCCAGCACCTCGGCCAGTTCTCCTGCCCGGGCCCGAGGCCGACCTCGAAAAACTAAGCCTGGGGCTGTGAAGCCCAGGCACCCGAGGTCCCCCGTCAGGGGTCGGGATTCAGAACAGCCGGAGGTGCAGCCCCAGCCTCAGCTCCAGACTCCTGCCCAGCCCCAGCCTGCGCTCCAGTTGCATCCACAGCCCCTTAACAGGTCCCTGGAGCAAGAAAGCTCCCCTTTGTCTCTGGGTCAGAGCCAGCATGACCTCAGCCAGTCAGCCTTCCTGTCTTGGCTGAGCCAGACTCAGAGTCGTAGCCCCCTGTTGAGCAGCTCAGTCCTCACGCCTGACAGCAGCCCGGGAAAGCTGGATCCAGCCGCACCACAGCCCCGGGAGGAGCCGGAACCCGAGGAGGCAGAATCCAGCCCTGACCCTCAATCCCTGTGGCTGGATGTCGCAGCCCAGGTGCCCTGCGGTGCTGCCCCTACACCGCCCCCTGCAGTTTCTGAGGACCAACCCACCCCCTCCCCGCAGCTACCTGCCTCCTGCAAGCCAGTGAGTAGCCAGAGTCCGTCGCATGCACTTGTCTTCATCTTTGCCACAGACACCGATCTCTGCCTGTGGGACTGTTGTCTGAGGTTGAGGGATTGTACGCTGGAAAACAAGTTGGGTGTGGTAACTCACGCCTGTAATCCCAGCACTTTGGAAGGTGGAGCTGTGAGGATTGCCTGAGCTCAGGGGTTTGAGACCAGCCTGAGCAATATGGGAGACCTCGTCTCCACAATGATGGTACATGGTGGCACATGTCTGTGGGTTCCAGCTACTTGGAAGGCTGAGGTGGAAGGATCGCCTGAGCCTAGGAATTTGAGGCCACATTGAGCTATGATCGTGCACTCTAGCCTGGAAAACAGAGTGAGACTCTGACTAGAAAAACAAAAACAAAAAAACCCCAAGTTGGTTCTATTCTGTGAAATGTTTAGTCTTATAGCTTCCCAATTTTTTTTGAGTTGGAGTCCCAGTGGCATGCTCACGGCTGCCCTAGCATCAACCTGCTGGGCTCAGGTGATCCTTCCACCTCAGCCTTCCAAGTAGCTGGAATTACAGACACACGCTTCCACACCTGGCTAGTTTTTGTGATTTATTGTAGAGACAAGGTCTCACCATGTTGCCAAGGCTGGTCTTGAACCCACAGGTTCCCAAAGTGCTGAGATTACAGACTGAGCCACCACGCCTGGCTCATCCTGATTTCTTTGTGTCTCGTTTTACCCACAGCTAAATAGACCCAGTACATCCAACCCCTGTTCTCCAGTGCAGTTCTCTCCCACCCCTTTGTTTGGGATGGCCCCAAAGAGGCGAGCAGGAGACCCTGGAGAAACACCACAGAGTCCCACAGGGCTGGGACAGCCAAAACGGAGAGGGAGACCTCCCAGTAAGTTCTTCAGACAGATGGAGCAGCGTTACCTAACCCAGCTCACGGCCCAGCCTGTCCCCCCTGGTGAGTGATCTCGGGTGAGAGTGGAATAAGAGCAGCATCCAGCGAGGGCGGCAGTTCTTGACTGGCTATCGGCCCTCACCCCGCGTGCATCTCCTGCTCACAGAGATGTGCTCGGGCTGGTGGTGGATACGAGATCCTGAGACACTGGATGCCATGCTCAAGGCCCTTCACCCCCGAGGCATCCGGGAGAAAGCACTTCACAAACACCTTAGCAAGCACAGGGACTTCTTGCAGGAGGTCTGCCTACGGCCCTCCACTGGTGAGTAAGATGCCTGGGCCGGGCCTGGCCTGAGCTGAAGCCCAGGTCAGTATTGAGCTGCTGCACCAGACAGCAGCCTGATGGTCTCTCCCTCACCGTCTCTCTTCTCAGACCCCATCTTCGAGCCCAGTCAGCTACTTGCCTTTCAAGAAGGGGTTACGAGCTGGTCTCCCAAAGAGAAGACATACGAGACAGATCTCGCTGTCCTCCAGTGGGTAGAGGAGCTGGAACAGCGGGTTGTCATGTCTGACCTGCAGATTCGGGTATGCTGGGATTGGCCCTGGGTAGGCAGTTGTTCCAGGGAGAGCATTAATCCCTTGGACCCTGTTAGGAAAAACTTGAGTTCTTACTTCACAAGTGACCTACCATGATCGTGAATGGGTCTTTTTTTTTTTTTTGAGCTGGAGTCTCACTGCATGAACCAGGCTGGAGTGCGGTGGCACTGTGCCTGGCTAATTTTTGATTTATTGTAGAGACGAGGTCTTGCCAATTTGCCCAGACTGGTCTCGAACCTGCGGGCTCAGGCAGTCCACTTGTCTCAGCCTCCCAAAGTGCTGGGATTACAGGCTGAGCCACCGAGCCCGGCCTGGGTCATTTTTTTCTTTTATTTGAGTTGGAGTCTCACTCTCACCCAGGCTGGAGTGTAGTGGCATGCTCACAGCCAACCCAGCGTTTACCTGCTAGGCTTTGGCGATTCTTCTGCCTCAGCCTTCCAATTAGTTGGAACCCCAGGCATGCGTCACCGTGCCTAGTTAATTTTTTTATTTATTGTAGAGATGAGGTCTCGCCAAGTTGCCCTGGCTGGTCTCGGATCCCTCGGCTCAGGCTGTCCTCTCGCCTCAGCCTCCCAAGGTGCTGGGATTGCAGATGTGAGCCACTGTGCCTGATTTTCCTCCTTTACAATGAGTTCTGTTCTCTCTCTCACCTGAAGGGTTGGGTGCGTCCTAACCCAGACTCTACTCGTGAAGACTTGGCCTACTGTGAGCATCTCTCCGACTCCCAGGAGGACATCCCCTGGAGAGGGCGGGGCAGGGAAGGACTGGCACCTCAGCGGAAAACTACCAACCCTTTGGACCTGGCTGTGATGCGACTGGCCGCCCTGGAGCAGAATGTGGAGCGGCGGTACTTGCGGGAGCCCCTATGGCCGGCTCACGAGGTGGTGCTGGAGAAGGCCCTGCTCAGCACACCCAGTGGGGCCCCTCAGGGCCCCGCGACGGAGATGTGAGTTGCTCCCACCCGCATGCTTGACCTGGAAAGGAGGAGCTAAGTTTCCTCTTAAGTGGGTCCTACTCCTCGTCCAAAGGTCCCTTCTTGCTCCCTCCAGATCGTATGAGATCACGCCTCGCATTCGCGTCTGGCGCCAGACCCTGGAGCGGTGCCGCAGTGCAGCCCAGGTGTGCTTGTGCCTGGGCCAGCTGGAGAGGTCCATTGCCTGGGAGAAGTCTGTCAACAAAGTGGTAAGAGGCTGGGAGAGCCCAGAGAGGCTGAGTGGCCGACCGGGGGTGGGATCGCTGGCAGGCAGAGGCTTGAGAGCTCATTCTATCTCCTCACAACCTTGGTCCAGACCTGTCTAGTCTGCCGGAAGGGTGACAACGATGAGTTTCTTCTGCTTTGCGATGGGTGTGACCGTGGCTGCCACATCTACTGCCATCGGCCCAAGATGGAGGCTGTTCCAGAAGGAGACTGGTTCTGTGCTGTCTGTCTGGCCCAGGTAAGGCTTCTGCTCTTTCATTCTCTCTTCCAGGTGGAAGTCAGAAACAGCCTCTTTCGTCTCGTTCACTCCCAGTCCTCCAGACATCCCATATCATGCCCTCAGCTCTCCTTGGAAAGCACTCCAGGCTGGGCGGTAGGAGGCTTGGGTTCTGGTCTTTCTTTGGACAAGTCAGTAAATTCTGTAGCCTCAGTTGTTTCCTCCGTAAAGTGGGAATGCATGTACCATCTCCTTCTCCTGCTTCCTTGGGTTATGTGAATGAATTCACACAGCGGTTAATCTGTGAAAGTCTTTTGAAGCCTTAACACCCCGAGGCTGGCAGGACGTGGTGGTTCATCTCGCCTGTTTCCTGTCCACAGCAGGTGGAGGGAGAATTCACTCAGAAGCCTGGTTTCCCAAAGCGAGGCCAGAAGCGGAAAAGTTGTTCGCCGAACTTCCCAGAAGGTGACGGCCGCCGGCGCCGAGGACTGTCGAGGGGCCGGGAAAGCCCCGCAGTTCCTCGGTACTCAGAAGAGGGGCTGTCCCCTTCCAAGCGGCGGCGACTCTCAATGCGGAACCACCACAGTGATCTCACGTTTTGCGAGTGAGTTCTGAGTGAATCCCGGGGCCGGCCCTGCCTCCGCCCGAGGAAAGGGCTGGGAGGGTTAGGCGGTTTGCTTCCCGCGGCGGAGCCATCACTGTCCCTGTGGTGACAGGATCATCCTGATGGAGATGGAGGCCCATGACGCAGCCTGGCCATTCCTGGAGCCAGTGAACCCACGTTTGGTGAGTGGGTACCGGCGCATCATCAAAAATCCCATGGATTTTTCCACCATGCGGGAGCGGCTGCTCCGGGGAGGGTAAGTCAGTGCGGCAGCTCCCCGCCCCTTGCTCCTTCCTTTGCTGCGCAGCTCGTGCCACACCCATGGCTGCGCCTCGCCCCGCCAGGTACACCAGCTCGGAGGAGTTTGCAGCGGACGCTCTCTTGGTGTTCGACAACTGCCAGACCTTCAACGAGGACGACTCGGAAGTAGGCAAGGCCGGCCACATCATGCGCCGCTTCTTCGAGAGCCGCTGGGAGGAGTTTTGTCAGGGAAGACAGGCTGATCTGTGAGGCGCGGGAGGCGGGGGCCGCCCTGGCATCCCCCCCCTCTGAACAAAAAACCTGCCGTTCTCACCTGCTGATGCTGCCTGGGTCCAGACTCAAGCCAGGTCTGTTCCTGACTCTGACCTTGCCCCGGGCAGCGCCCACGTCCTCTTGCCCCTCCGCCCCTTTCCCTTTTCCTCCTCCTGCTCCTCGAATGAGAGGTGCAGAGATGAGGTCCTTCTGGACTGAAAGCCAAAAAAAGAAAGAAAAAAATAATTTTTCTTTTGTTTTATTTCCTAATTAAAAATGGGGAGGGGGAAAAAGTCCTTACTTCCTCCTCCCGGCTTCCTCTCCTTCCCTGTACGGGCCCCAGCATTCTGGGGTTATTTAACAATAGCAATAGTTCTAGTGAATGTGTGAAACCAAGAAACACTCTGTACTGTGTGCGGACCCGCAGTGACGGCCAGTAAAGTGGACTTAACTCCCAAGTGTGTCGAGCCGGACACCGGGCCCTGAACATGCTGCTTCCATGTTCAGTCCCTTCCCTGCTTCTTGCTCTCTCTCTTCTTTTCCCTTTTCCTACCTTTCGCCCTCCGTTTTTCGATCTTCTCATCCAGCCATGTAAAACTGTCGTGTACGGGTTCCTCCCCCCTTCTCTCTTCTCCCGAGTATTTTTCCCTTCACAGGAAAAGTTCAGAGGTCCCTGTCTTTCTCTCTGTCCTCCTCTTCCTGCCAGTAGCTATCCCCTCTACAATGTTGGTCGCTCCTCACGAGCTGAGTTTCCAGCCTTCTCTGAAACTCAGTAGCTGGGGCGATTCCCCACCTCCTTCCCAAACCTTCCTCTTAGGAACTCCTCAGGGACAACCACTGCTGAGTTTGGGCGCACCCCAAGGAGGAGGCCAGGTCGCAGTTGACTGGCCTCGGAGAGAGGTGTGTGAGCGCGCGTGTGAGCGGATGCCGTGCTTGTGACCCGGTGTTGTTTGATAGGATCCATTCACTTTCCCCAAGTATCTGTTTTTATTCCCACCTTTCCCGTTGTTTCGAACCATCACTTTTTTGTCTTTGGGAAACCACAGGAACAATTTCTCTGGGGACAAAGCTGTGTCTCTCTCCCGGTCGTTTCTGTTCAGCCTCTTCAAACTGTGCAATCTTCCAGCAGGAACTCCCTCTCTTCTCAGTAGCTTTGAACCTTCAGTTTCTGCAGGGAGAGGGTAGAACTGGATCTCTTCCCAGCCCCGCGAGCTTCTGTGGGTTCGGCTGTGCTTTCTTCCTTCGTCGTCCTCACGCTCCGGGGCCTTCCCCAGCAGCAGACCCTGGAGCTGGGCAGGAGAGCGGGGGGCGGGGTCCGGGTCCACCACTGCCCTCCCTGCGAACGCCCAGGCGAAGCCCCTTGCGCGAGGAGCGCTGCTAACTCCCAGCTGCAGCCATGGCCCCTGGCCCCTGCTTTCCTGCCCAGCAGAGCCCCTCCCACCAGAGATACGGGTACTTGCACTGGGGAGGTGGCTGCTGGCTGGCCCAAGCAGAGAGCCGGGCATCTGAGGAGTCCCGTTGCGGGAGGGGCTGCCCGGCGAGGCGGGCCTTCCTGGCATTCTGGCAGCACTGAAGAGCCCCCGAGGGGTGTGGGGGCCGTGCACATCCGGGGCAGCCCCCTTCCGATTCCTGGATGCCCCTTCTCCCCCATGGCCTATTTCTGAAGTCGCCTTTTCTGTCAGATAAACCTCAAAACTTTTAATTTTATTTGAGATTTTTTTTTGCTTTTAAATAAGAGGTGGATTGAAGAATATTTGAATTGACTTTATATTATGCATAAATATTTATATTTTATCTAAATAACTGCGCTGTAACAAACTTTGTGTTAGTTGGACGGTCGGAGCTGTCGTGGTTGGGGGCTCCTCTGTTCTCCCCGTGGCGGTTTCCCCTGGTCTGAAACGAGCTAGGTTGATTTCACTGTCGAGGGCGGGGGAGCGAGGTCTTTGTTGTTCCTGCGTGTTCCTCTCCTGGCTCCATCTTTCCCTAGGGACCAGGCACTCTTGAAGGCGGGGGTCCTCGCCTCAGTTTGAGGAGGTGGTAGCTGAAGGGGGTGGGGACGGGGCGTGATCCAAGGGGCCATTTCTTTTCCTTCCTCGTCTCACCGCCCCTGGAGCTAGGTAGATTTTCTCTTCGTGGTAAATCAGAGTATTTGGCAGGGAAGGCAGGTTCAAGGTGAAAGATAGCCCACCCTGCCCCTCCGTCTCTCCTCCCCCTGTCAGTCTGGTCACAGGAAGAAACCACACCATCAACATCAACAAGTTTCCATGTTCCTTTACAACAAAAGGGACTGACTTTTTATATAACCAAATGTGGTGTTTTAGTGACTTTTTGATAATGTACAGTTTTTTGTGAATTTAAATTTATTTCTTTCTATATTTTTAGGACCAATCTCATTTTTAATAAGGTTAAAAAAAGGAAAAAAGTCTAGAGGAAAAAAACTCCTGTTTTTGCCATGTGATGTTCCACAGGTGCAGCTGTAGAAAAGTGCTTGTCAGTTGAATAAAAACCACATTTGATAGAGATTTAAAAGCCTTGGTGTATTTCTTTTTACACAGGCTCCCACACGTGCCTGGGGGAGACTGAGTGTTGGGATGGGCGTGACTGGCTTGGTGTAAGAGGCAGGCAGGGGACAGCATGCCCCCCAAACAGCAAGCTTTATCCCTCAGCGCCCAGCTTGGCCTTTCCGGTGCAAGAGGCGTCTCGAGGCCACATTCCTGCTTCACGTCCTCTGCGCATGTGGGTGGAATCGGTTCTTGTGCTCCTGCCTGAAAGTCTGGTGCTGGAGCAAAGCAGGACCCGGTGTGCCTGGTTCCCGCCCTGCGGGACATGGCCTGGGCTTCCTAAGCGGCCATCTGTGTTCCTGTGGTAGCCGTCACCAGCTTCCCACCTCCCACCCACGGATAAGACACCAAGACGTACATGTTTGTGTTTCATTGTTTTAAAGACAGTTGCAAGACAAAACAGTTCAGCAAGTTGTGGGGAAAGAACATGGAAGGCCAGCGCTCGGAAAGGAATAAGCTAGAAGGGAGGCCCTGGTGGGGATGGGACAAGTACAAAACTCAGAACTGTCTCTGCCTGAAGAAGTACAAAGTGTGTTTAGGCGTAAACTAAACTTACTTTCTGCCCAAGGCGGTAAGTGCATGCCAAAGAACACTCACCCACCCAAAAAGGCCACGGAGGGTGTGTTCAAGTGGGGACTTGGTTGCCTCCAACTGGAGAATTCTTGCTGCCCTCCAGGCTGGAAGTCTTGTCTTGGTGACCCCTCTAAACTGCACTAACGGATGTTAAGGCGGAGAAGGAACATCTGCTTCCGTCCTTAGGAAGATCATGAACTCCTTCGGTGCCGGTGGTGCCTGGTCGCCCGCCAGCCGTGTGGCAGTCTGACACTCATCCCCCAGTCCTGAGCTCTGCCCTCGGCTGCTGTTCTGGGGGCGTCGACCCGCCCGCCATTAGTCGTCCTAGTCTCTGGAGAGTTCATGCAAGAATCGGTGAATTGAAAGTCCCAGGGGAAACTTCCCAGAAGGAGACGTGTCCAAGTTTTCGCCTTTGCTGGTGAGTCCTTTCTAGCCCCCAGCTTCCTAAGAAGGATGTCAGGCGCCCGCGCCCTTGTGATGTGAGAACGCGAGGTAGACAAGTGTAATGAGGAAGGTCCGGGATCTGCTTGCAGGAGGGTTTATTCAAAACAAGTGGGACAGGCCTGGGAGGAGGAGCAGGGGTGCCCACGGGCAATGGAGGCACCTGGGTTTCTCATCGCTGCAGTCGTGTGGGGCCACCCCCAGGGGGGTGCGGCAACATTCGACAGGCCAGAAGGGAAGCAGCTCTCCGGTGCTACAGCTGTTCAAGACCCGGGGAAGGCCTGCGATGTGGGGAGATGGCAGGGCCTCATGTGCGCAGGGGTCTAAAATGCAGGTAGCACTGACAGCGTTTTTAGAAGGGAATCGCAAAGAGTTGGTGTAACGAGGCACAACATTTAGCCCTACAGACTGGCTTCTGCAACACCCACCCTCTCTGAAGCCTGGGGCCAGTTGGACCTGATCACCCAGCCGCGTCGGCTGAGAAGGCCCACAGCCTCTCACGCATGCAGTGCTGCTGCTTTCCCAGAAGGTGGGGCGTGTGCACAAGAGCAGCAATGGTCCTCTAGAAGCCGGTAGCTCCAGCTACCAGGGATCCCTGCAACATTCCAGCAAGGCCTCTCCCTGCGTCTTTATGGTGCAAAGTTAACCCACGTGCGGGCCTCAGCCCCAAGGAGTTGACACACTGGAGAAGCAGGAAGCAAGCATGGAAAGGCAAAGGGAGGGCGGACGAGCTCACCAGCAGCAAGTAGGGGAAGGAAGAGCAATGGGCTGGCAAGGCCTGTGAAGCCGCCAGGCCCGGCTCCATCCCAGCGTGAGGCCTGCCCCCCACCCCTACCACCGCGGTTGCAGTTATAGCTACCCTGCTCCCTGCTCCAGAGCCAGCAAGCTTCCACGGCTGGGCAGCTCTTCGAAGTCTCTGGTTAAAGACACTTTAAAAATAACATCTCCCCCATCACCATTTTCACGTCTTCCTAGCCTCTACCCACACCCTCCTCCTCCCAGAAGTCCAATCATCAGTCCAGGGTCCGAGTATGTCTCAGAGCCCAAGAGGAGCGGGATTAACACTACAGGTTAGGGGCTTAGTAAAGGATTATGCCGTCTAGGGAAGGGACTCTGGTATGGTCTATTTGACCGAAAACAGAAACACAAAGTACTAAAACATTTTAAGAATGATAGGCGCATCTGTCATGAGTGGAGATGGACTCTGAAGCCGAGTCAGATGCACCAGGCATGGCAGTTAAAGGAGCCCGGCCCCAGGCCGTGACCGGAAGGCTCCCCACAATTCCCCTGCCACTGCCCCAACCAATCAGGCCACTCTATGGGAGAAACTGTCCCTCATTCCTGCTCCTTCCTTTCTCCAATCATTCACCCACTGGACAAATGAACTAACAACTGGGGAGGGGAAAGGAGTGTACACCAAAAGCACCCAAAAAGAAATTGTTTGCTGCCATTAACCACTACAAAAACAACAGCTCCCCATCACTCCCCCCTACTAAAATCAAACTCACTAACAGAATCCAACAGAGTCATAGGAGGAGACCCTCAAAAGCAACTTCCAAATGTAAAACAGTCGGGCGCAGTGGATCACGCCTGTAATCCCAGCACTTAGGGAGGCAGAACTGAGAGGATTGCCTGAACCCATGGGTTCGAGACCAGTCCGGGCAACTTGGCGAAACCTCGTCTACAATAAATCAAAAAATCTACCCGGGCGTGGTAGCACAGGCCTGTAGTTCCAGCTACTTGGAAGGCTGAGGCAGAAGGATCGCTGGAGCCCAGCAAGTCAAGGCTATGGTGGCTTTGAGCATGCCACTGCACTCCAGCCTGGGCAACAGAGTGAGACTCCAACTTAAAAATAAAAAAAAAAAAGAGTAAGCCGGGCTCGGTGGCTCAGCCTGTAATCCCGCGCCTTTGGGAGGCTGAGGTGAATGAATTGCCTGAGCCCATGGGTTCAAGACCCACCTGGGCAACTTTGTGAGACCTCATCTTTACAATAAAATCAAAAATGAGCCGGGGGTGGTAGCTCGTGCCTGTAATTCCGGCTACTCGGAAGGCTGAGGCGGAAGGATTGCTGGAGCCCAGCAGGCGAGGCTGCAGTGGCCGGGAGTGGCCACTGAACTCCATCCTGGGTGACAGAGACTCCAACTCAAAAAAAAAAAATAAGTAAAACAAAGCAAAAAAACCAGAGCCACTTATGCTTTTTTTTTCTTTTGAAATAAAGGGGGCAGAACCAGGAATTCTGGGAGGTAGAAAAGGGGGAGCAGTGATGTCCAGTTTCTGGATGTGAGAGGCCCCCACGGCACCGAGCTCCTATCAGAGCAGAGCTTTCCCTCCAGCAGGGAACAGATTCCAGACTTGTTTTCTCTTTCTCTTCAAGGCCACTGACCAGAAAGCAGCTGGGGCAGACTTTCCTTGAAGGTATGCCATGGGACTGGAGACTCAAAGACAAAGTCTGGCTGACCAGCCCCAAACCCCTCTGGAAGGCAACTGGGCCTGGGGCTGTCTTACAGGGTACAAACTCCTTCTGAGGCTGGAAGCGCCAATGGGAACGCAGCAGTGTTGTCCCTGACACTTTATGTCCCACCCACCGCCCCCTCCCTCACCCCAGGATGTGCAAAGGAAGCCTGGGGCTGGGGGCACTGGGACAGTTGCTTCTGGGGGGCTGGGAAGGAAGAGAAAGTCAGGCTCGGGCTCCATGCGCAACGGCTGACACGACCTTTCCTTTTCCTGCTCTCCCTGCCTCCCAAGGCCTGCTTCTCCAGCCTCCCTATCTTTCTGTCTGACAGTGGAGAGGCGCCTGGTCTGGAAGTGAAAGAGCAGAGTCCTCCTTTCAGCGGGCAAGGGAGCGACCAGGAGAAGACCAGGTCTTATTTCCCAAAAGGCAAAGGCTTCCTGCGATCTGCCTCCAAGTGCACAGTCAAGTCTTGCAGAAGGACCGTTAAAGGGCGACACACGGGCTTTTTTTTCTGTCACCCAGGCTGGAGAGCCATGGCACGCTCACAGCCCCCACAACCTCGGCCTGCTGGGCTCAGGCGATCCTTTTGCCTCAGGCTTCCAAGTAGCCGGAGCTACAGGTATGTTGCCCAGGCTGGTCTCAAACCCCTGGACTCAGGCAGTCTTCTCACCTCTGCCTCCCAAAATGCTGGGATTACAGATGTGAGCCACCATGCCCGGATGACACAGGTTCTTTTTTTTTTTTTTTTT